AATCAAAACTCAGTAGCAAACTGTTACTATTGCCAGCAACTTCAAAGAACTCCTTTAGTTTAGAAGGAAGAAAAATAAATAAATATATTCCCTGATAAATTGGATCCGCAAACCTCAACTACTACTGCTGTTAGCAATAACATAAGTTTTAAACCAATACAGTCATCGTCAGTAATATTCAAAAAAAAAAGATTTATTTTTTAATAATGAAGTCTAAAAGTATGTTTTGTAGAATAGTAATGAAGAACTTTTTTATAAATCAGAAAAAGAAATTGACTTCAATATTGCTTCTTCTCATCTTTCAAACACAGATATATGCATTAACCCTAGTGACTAAATGATGGCCAAATTTCATGATAAAATAAAAAATTCCTTTAGATGTTGCATTTTATAAAGTGAAATACTTCAAAAATAATGGTTTTATGTTTACATTTATGAAACAAATGTTGCAAACATATAATTTCACAATGACTAATTAAGAATATTCAGAAAAGATGTGATTCAAATATTATCCACGCCAATTCTGAAATCAAAATCTTGTTTTAAAAACATGCTTAATTATAAAGTTATAAAAATTGGTATTACACTTTATTTAAATTTTTCTGAAGTAAGTATATATGAGTTTTTTGTTTATATAGTAAAACAGTCATTGACAAAAAAAGAAATGTATGTGGAGGCTTTTTCAATACCAAAAAACAGCGACACACTGTGAGTTGTAAGGAAATAAGCTGCAAACCAAATATAGCAGTCACAGCTTAATATAAGTTAGAAGTACATTGGTCAAGTGTAAAACTGTATATTGTTGCAATCCATTTTTGCTGCACTAAATTTCTAAAAGTTTTACAAAACAGGTGTTTACCATATCTTTATGTTTTTGACCTCTGTTTTTGAATTTGTAGTTAATGCATTACCTCCGAAAGAACCAATACCAGCAGGTTTTCATTTTTGACATCTATTACTGCTTTTTCTTCTTCTGGATATTCATCCTGATGTAACTAGAAAAATAAGTATAAAACAACTATACCCATTTGTCAAGCTAGTGGCTTTTTCATTGGGAAATGTGGACAGGGTAGGAAGATCAAAAATGGCCGTTTTTAGCGTGACGTAATTATGCAATGTCTCCTTGTTGAAAAATGCGTTACTAAAGGATTGGTACGGGCTGCATTTAATTTATAAATTATTGCAAATTATTAATTCAGCTTTAAGATAATCAGGCAGAGAGTTCATTTTGCCCCATCGCAAGAAAAAAGTACTTGCAAAAATGCTCAATAAAAACTTAACTAACCTCCACAGTACAAGATATACTTTTTTCCTTAGTATTTACCTAGTTATAAATTGATTTTTTCCTGCATTTAGACCACGGTAATATAATGAGTTACATCATTTAATGAGCATAGCTCGTAAATACCGTCAACGATATTGGAAACATATTGTTTTATGTTATTCTCTTTATCTTTCTTTAAAAGCTTATTTTCAAAACCACTTATATATACAGTGTTTGCTTCATTTTTAAATCGTATTTTATCAGCATCGGACACTTACGCTAATGAATGTTTTAATACAATTCCATAAAAAAGCTTTTCTTTTATTAAAACTAGCAGTAAGCAACCCGTAATACGCGTTGTTAGTAAATAAAATTAAAAAAAAAACCCGCGTATAGTAAAGGGTAGAAACTACTTTAAAATAGAAAAGCCTAGAAAATGACGTAACTCGACTAATAATAATAATACTAAATTAGCATATTCATATTATCAGATAACTTCTCAAATTCTTGAAAATGTCATCTAATTCTGGTCTGTGCTTTTTTTTACCAATATTAACTCATATTTTTTGAAAATATAGAAATAAATGTACAAAATATAATAAAATATTTCACAGTTATTTTGTTTCACTTACTCCATCTTCCTCCTCTCAAAGAAGTTTTCAAATTGTTCGGTTACATTTTTCCATTCCTTGATTTGTAAAATATACTTAGTAATAGTTTGCTGATTTTATCAGTTTTGCCAGAGTACTGAGGGCGTACAACATTTTGCTGAAATGTTTAAAAAATTGTTGGAGTATCGAAAATGCCAAATTGATGTTGCAAAAGTTAAAAATTCATTTGCCTGTCCATGCATTGAGTAAATGTGACTTCACATTAACAATACTTGGAATAGGAAAAGAAAGGTTTCTTAATTTCCAAATCAAAAAGCATGAGGTAGATATAAAAAACATTCGCGGACTACTGGGCAACAGACCACAAAATTCTAGAGTCCTACTCAAAGATTTATACAATAATGTCAAATGAATTCAATAAGGGTTTATTTGGGATTAAACTTAAAATTTGTAAAAATTAACTTGACTTACTAAACTTATCTTTAAGAAAAGAAAAAGGATGGTTTAAAGGATGCACAAATTTAATGAGAGCATAACATCTTTTTAGATTTGTTGTGAAGATACACACCAGGTTATGTTATTCAATTTTGTATTGAAAAGTTTTAAATAGTCTAACTGCTCTAAGCAGATTAAATCTTTGCTTACGTTTGTTATAACTTTTATTTGTTAAAATTCTCCAAGCAATTAAAATAATTTGATTGTTTATTTGCTTAGAAAATTTTATTTGTTTGTGAATTTTTTAAAGAACATATTAAATTTGCTCAGAAAATTACTGATTAGAGATTTTTATTTATTTCACCATTTGCAGAGAAGGATTGCAACAATAAGGAAGAAAAAAGTTTTAACGAATTAAAGATGTAACTGCCAATTGGTAACTTGATTTATAGATATCTGTAAATAAAAATAAAATAACTGTTCTAATATATACTTATATTATGCATCTATATTATTATTTATATAAATTTACTATTTCTATTGTTATTATATTATATTCAATATATATTCTAATATATAGTTTTTAAATATGTATCTTGGTAAAGTTAGAGATTGAAGAGGAAAAACAAAAACGACAACGTTGAAAACGAAAACATCAGAAATACTTTTGATAAAGTGTTTTAAATCTTAAATTATTAAAACAAAGTTTATTTTTTTTATTATTTTGTTAAAAATGCCTAAATTGTTTTACTTAGCTTTAATCAGTCGATCTAACAATATTTACAATTTTAGCAAATATTTGACAAATTAAATTACAAAAAAAAAAAGTTTTAATTTTTATTCAAGAAATGTGTTATCAAGACAGTAAAAATAAATAACATATATGTGTATAGCATTACTATGGGTGGATCATAAGGACTTAACTCAAAACACAGATTTATATAGTTGAGCCTCTGTTATCTTAAGCCCCCGAATCTACATTTGAAATTATTTAGAATTTTTATTTTTTTTATTTAAAAAAGTCACAGGAATTTTGGCGGTTTTATGCTTTTTCTTGGCTTTTTACAGCCTAAATTATTTTTCTTTCAGCCTGAAGAAGAGGTAAACATATAAATGTGTAAAAAGTATTTTTAATTTTTTTATTTCAAAACCTTTTTAAAATTTTAAAACAAATCTGAATTAATTCTTTTTCCAAAAAATTTTGAATTAAAAAATTTGTAGAAACAAAATAAAATCTTTTCAAATCAATTGTATTCTAAAATAATAATAATAATGATAATAATAACAATAATAATAACTATAATAATAACAAATATCTTTTACTAAAATTAAACTACTCACGTTTTGGCAATTTTATATTTGGTATTGGGAATGAAAAAAATTAAAACTTTTGTTTTTTTAAAATATTTTAATTAACTTTTGTTTTTTTAAAATATTTTAATTAAAATGTTTTTTTTAACGGCCATCCCTCTATTGAGAGCAAAATGTTAAAAGTAATTTGTTTGAACATCATTTTATCATTTTTAAAATTTTTATAAATTACTTACGTTTCGGAAGCCTGACCTTTGGTTTAGAAGCTTAAATAAAAGTCATTAGTCATTATATATATATGTATGTATACATACATATACCAATATATATAGCCTGGGAAAAAAAAAAAGCCCTAAAATTTCGGCCTCAACTACTCAAACGTGAAAACAACAAGTTAACAAAATATTTTTAAATATTTATTAATAAGATTTAAATTTCATACAACAATCTTTCAATATTTAAAATTTATGATCTCAAGTTACAAAAAAACTGGATCCGCCCCTGTATATATGTTTTATATATATATATATATATATATATATATATATATATATATATATATATATATATATATATATATATATATATATATATACATATATATATATATATATATGTATATATATATATATATATATTATATATATATATATATATATATATATATATATATATATATATATATATATATATATATATATATATATATATATATATATATATATATATATATATATATATATATATATATATATATATATATTAAACAAAAAAAAAATATTATATGGTTTTATCCTCCTTACAGTAAAAATATGTTAACAAAACTTGGACATTTAATTGACTTGCATTTTCCATTACATCATAAGCTCCACAAAATATTCAACAGAAACACAATAAAAATTAGTTACAGCTACATGCCAAATATTCAATTAATTATTAATTCACACAACCAGAAAAATTTTGCGCAACAAACTTTCCGCTAATTATATAAATTGCAACTGCATTAAAAAAACCACATGCCCATTAAATAACCAATGTCTATCAAAAAAAGTTGTATTTAAAGCCACTTTAAAGTCACCTAACCCAGTCTTATAGAAAAATCCTACATCGGAATTATTAAAAACACATTCAAGCTTAGGTTTGCAAACCACCTTAAATCATTTAATGCAACCAGGTATAGGAATGATACGGAACTTTCCAAAGAAATCTGGAAATATTTAGACGCAGGTAAAATGCCTATAATTAAGTGTAATATAATACACCTTTTTGTTATGTCAGTTTCGGTCCTTATGTTGTATAATTTTTTCGACCAAAATCAAAACAGTATATAGTACGGACGTTGTTGCGTTTTAACCCAAATCAAGCATTTCTTTTAAACTATGGTATACATATGTATTGTTAAAGATTGCCTTAACTCTATTAGAGATATTATAAATTGGAAGAATTTATTCTGTGAAGAACATGGGTGTCTTAGAAAATCTGATTTATGTTACTGTAATCCACCTTTCAGGTTTGTTGTTGAGACTAACTCAACTCTTCTAGCTCAACTTAAGTTTAATGTGTTACTTTTAAAAGTTTAGAAATAAGTATACTTTTGAGTAATAATAACAAGTCAAGTATGTTGTGAAAAAAAGCTTGTGTAAGTTTTATTTTGCTTGAAGTTTTTTTTATATAAATATGTAGTAATTTTTTAAACATTTTATACAGGCTGTTTCCATTCCCTATCACATTAAAATGCTCAATTAAAAGGAACACTTGGATAAAATTAATTAACAGAAAAACAAAAGAAAGAAAATACTGGGAACCATCAAAAGACAGTCGTGTTTGCTCCAACTATTTTGTTGACAAAGAAGCAAGCATAGAATTTCCTAACCCAACTTTAAATCTTGGATATAATGCAACTGAAAAATCTGAGATGCTTTTATCTACAGGTAAAAAAAGAATTATAAACTATTAAAATGAACCAAATAACTCTAAGGAAGTAAAATGTTTTGCTGATTCAAGTGCATCTAAAAGTTTTGAACTTGTCATTAATGTACGAAACTCTGTTACATTTGAAAAATCGAATTCCAATTTTGAAAAAAAAAGTTTTTGAGCATTAAAGATTTATTATTTTCATTATTGTTATTTATTATTTACAGTTTAAAAAAACATCTACTTGAACTTAAAAAACAGTTAACTTGCGCAAAACCACTTTATAAAAAACTATTAACAGAAAAAAATATAAAGTTTTATACTAATCTTGAAATTTTAGAAATGTTTTATAAACTTCATGAAAAAATTTCACCTCTAATAAAGAGACATTATCGTCAAAAAGATGAGAGCAAAGAAAGGCGTAATTTTCAATCAACACCAGAAAAAATAGGACCACTAAGAAAATTGGTTTCACAAGATGAAATGCTTATATGTTTAATGAAACTCCGACTGGGGTTACTAACAACAGACTTATCAGACCGCTTTGGTATTTCAGAAGGTTTATGCAGCAGTATTTTCAAATCTTGGTTAAGGGCCTTAGCAGAGTATTTAAAAAGTTTTGTTTATGCACCAGACCTTGGAACAATAATTGCAACAACACCTGAAAGATTTCATCAGTTTAAAAACTTATTTGCTATTATTGATTGTTCAGAAATATTCATAGAGACACCAAAAGACTCAGAACTTCAGAGTGCAACTTGGTCTGAATATAAGCATCATAACACCTTAAAGTTTCTTATTGGTGTTGCACCAAATTCAAGTATTATATTTGTGTCAAAAGCATTTACAGGACGAATTAGTGACAAAAAGATAACCTTTGACTCTAAGTTTCTTGAGCTGGTTCCAAGTTATTCATTGATGGCTGATAAAGGTTTTAACCTTATTGAAGAATGTGTTGCAAGAAAAATTTATTTTATTACTCCATCTGGTCGTAGAGGCACCTCACAGATGATACCAAGTGGTGTAAGCAAAACTAGTGCTATTGCTAAAGTTAGAATATTAGTTGAACAGGTTATAAGAAGATTAAAAACCTTTCGAATTATATCACAGGAAGTGCCAATTAGTTTAATGCCATGTATTGATGATATTCTAGTAGTTTGCTCTGCATTGTGCAATTTTAAAGAACCTATCATGACAGATTAAATTTATTTTTAAGTTAATGTAACTTTATTTTCCAGTAATAAATTAAATGAAATAAAAGCAATAAATTCTTTTAACAATTTTCAAATTTATTTCTTTGTCTTTCTTAAACTTCTGTCCTTTCTTGAAAGGATTCTTAACCTAAATTTTGACAAATCGAAATTTACAAGATTTTTTTAAAGGTTATTGTAATTGTAATGCTTGCTGAATATTTAAAAAAAGGTTTTCTTGAAATTATTGAAAGAGTAATTTTTTGTTAAATATAGATTCTAATTGGATAGGATTAGTTCAGTTGATATTTAAGAAAGGTTGAAAAATTTTTTGACTTTATATTCTAAATATTAAGTCAATAAATTGTAGCTTTTACCCATCCTATTCCACATACTTTATTTTCAAGTTTATTGGGTATAAATCAGTGGTTCCCAACCTTTTCTAAACCGTTCCCCAAATTATATATCTTAAAATCTTCATGGAGCCCTTTGCTTTCGAAAATCATTACAAAGTTGAACATTTTAAAAATGAAATTTTTATTCAACAAGATATTTTTGAAATGTATCAAATCTAATTAAAAAAAAAGTTATGAACAACTATTAAGCGTAATAATGCTTTACCTAATAATATGCTAAATTTAGATAGCTTAATGCCTTACTACCTCATAATGAAATGTAGAAATTTTCAGATATGAAATAACTTTTAGCTTTCTATATAAACTTCACTCAAAAAATGTGTTCTTTAATATATGTTTATTTCACTGCACGATTAGTCACCCAGTAAGCTCTATGTGTTTAATATGATGTCTAAGAATTGTATTAATACGTTTTTTCATCTCCTTCAAAATGTCTTGTGCCTACTAGGCATTTGATGTTGGTTATACTCTGCCGGGGTAATTCCAAAAAGACTGACAGTCCCATACATACACAAAGTTTTTATGCAGAGCTATATGCTTTTTAGTATTTCTTTTTTTCAAATATGCAATTTTTTCAAGTTTATCATCAGATTACAAATATGTTTGGACTCAAATACCTTCCCTCTTATTTAAGCTAAAACTTCTTATTTGTCAAAAAAAAAAAAAAAAAAAAAACTTATACATAAGTATGTCAACCTCGGTTTCCATAAAAGCATTTTTTGATAAGGGTTTTAAAAATTATATTAGTTTGTAAGAAACCATTTTTAATACTTTAATTTTTATTTTTCTCAAAAATTTTCAAATAAAAACGATTCTGCTGAGACCCAGATTGATATTTAAATAAATTTTTTTGCACAATATAACGGGTTTTACACTAAATATCTTTGAAGTCTAACATAAAAGAAGGAAAATGATTGCATTATTACAATCGCATACATTTGTTGAAAAAGTTTAATATTTTAACTTTATCTTTCAAAAAGTTATAAGAAAAGAAAAGGTTAAAACTTCACAAATTTGTAAATTATTTTATTGAATAAGATAAAAATAAAGATTTACGTACAAAGTTTTACATATGAATAATAAGTCATTTTTGACCAAATGACTAAAAAAATAATATTTATTCATTTAAAAAATCTGGTTTAGAAATTTTAATTAAGTTTTTTTCACTGTGGATTAATTCATATTTTTTCTTCAAAGATCCACTTAAAATTTCTGGAGCAACTAGTTTTCTCCAAAACAAGCATAACTTTTTGCATATATTGTCCCAAAAAAGTTCATCAAAATTAACTTTAATAGTGATACTACCTTCAAATGTAAATACAAAAAAGTAATAGTATATTTTATTTGTTATTGCCATTTGGCCTTGAACTTGATAATAATATTCGCTTTTTTTTCTCAACACTATTTCTTGATTTTTGTTCATTTTGGTATGTTTATAGTTATCAGTTGATGGAATTAGACCAATCAATGATGCAGGGCTTTTAATTTCTAACAATCCATTTCCGTGACAAGTGAAACTAACTTTAAGATCAGGACTGCAAGAAATAAAAGGATATTGTTTAAGAATTAACATTCCAGGGTCGAAAAAAGGTAGAATTTGAATGGTTTTTTTTGAACAATGAAGTAAACTTTGCCTTAGCATGGGCTTCACAATTTAAACCATGCTTCATTTGCCATGTTGTATTTACTGTTTGATAACCCATTATGAATGCGATATTAACAAAATGGTGTTCTAAATCAAAACCATGTTTGTCAACAGTATCAACAATTGATTTGAATCGCGATGCTGTAACTCGTCCAATACGATGATTATGCCACATAACACTATTTAACTGTTCAACAGTTTCCTTATAAAGGTGCTCATCTGAATAAAAAAGTGAGTCTGCAAAAAAATCAGACAAATTACTAATTTCAAGTTCTGGATCACAATTTTCTATAAAACTCTTCCCGATTTCTAAAATTGTAGGTACAAACAAATTTATCTTTATTTTTTTCTTTGCACACATATTTTCACAAAAACAACTTTTTGGAATAAGATCTTTAATATTCTTATAAAAGTCCTTTCGAACACATTTACTATCTAAAAGAGCTTTTACTTGGCTGTCAGACATTACATTAAAATTTCTTTTTAGATTTAATTTTTCTTTTCGGAGTTCCGAGCTCTTTTGAATTAGCTTTGTTCAAATAATTATCTTTTGAAAATAAGAACTTGTATACTTCTGCTGGTTCAATTTGTTTTTTGAGTGTAGGTATATTCCAGTTAGATAAAGCACTTGTGCAAGTTATATGAGAGACCCCTAGAAGAATAGCAGCTTCAATCCGAAATAATAATCGTGCTACATGATTACAACTAGCAAGAAGACCAGCGGGACATGTGCAGTAAGCGCTTAATATTTCACCACCGACAGCATCTTCCTTGTCTTTTCGCACAATAATCCAAATAGTGTATTGCTTCATTAAAACTCGTTGGGATGGCGTACATTTTTTTTAAAGAATACAAAATGTTAAATTTTCATTAATGTTGTTCAAAAAAACTTCACTTATGAATGAATTGGTAAAATATCTATAAGCTTTTTCCTGTTTATATTCACATTCAATGCGTGTAATCAAATCAGATTTTTTCCCAAGAACTTTTGCATAAAACCTTGAAATAACACTAAAATATAAATGAGGCCCGAGCTTAACTCCATCTTTTTCATTAAACCAAGCAGTTTTTAAATCAATGGGATCTGGCAAAACCTTGTTCTCAATTTGAAGTTTTTGCTAATACTCATACAAAATACTTCTTTCTATGTGCTCCTTTTCAGGGTCAACTTCAGCTCCTTCTTTATATGCAGCAAATGGGCTAAAAGTAAAATTAGAATTTATGAAAATAAAAGTTATAAAACTTCATTACTAAAAATAAGTTATAAAACTTCATTATAAAAATATCATTTCATATCACATAATGCAAAATTATGCATAGTTTGTATAAATCATGGCATGAGTACATAAACAATGCACACACACAGATATATATATATATATATATATATATATATATATATATATATATATATATATATATATATATATATATATATATATATATACATATATATATATATATATATATATATATATATATATATATATATATAAATATATATATATAGTAGATATTTTAAAATTTTTCTATAAATATATTTTATAAATATATTTTATAAATGTATTATACATTATTATAAAATAAAAATATTATATATAATATAAATATATTTTATAAATGTATTATACATTATTATAAAATCTTATACATTGTATAAGATTTTAAAATAACAAGAGTTATATTTAGAAAAGAGAGCTTAATAACT